GAGGAGGAGGAAGAGGAAGAAGAGGAGGAAGAGGAAGAGGAAGAAGAAGAGGAAGAGGAGGAGGAGGAAGAGGAAGAAGAGGAGGAAGAGGAAGAAGAGGAGGAAGAGGAAGAGGAGGAAGAAGAGGAAGAGGAGGAGGAAGAGGAAGAGGAAGAAGAGGAGGAAGAAGAAGAGGAGGAGGAGGAGGAGGAGGAGGCAGGAAAAAGCTAACACAAAGAAAATATCAGATAGCATATTCTGTGGCCTTAATTAAACTATGACAAAATAAAATGGGATTATTTCTCAATAGTTGAAACTTTTCATTCCTGAATTTTAGAGAATTTATATTAATGAATCTATAGCTTTGAAAACTACCTACATGTTCATAAAAATCAGTGGGATGAAGAAGAGAAAATAAGCTTTGTGGTCGCTTTGGAAACTAAATGAGCCTTAATGAAGAAGCCATGAAAGCATCTTAGAAGTTTTTGCAATATTATTTACATATTTCACATACAGCATAGTTTGGAAATGATCATTAGTTTAATGATAAGTTTAATTCTACTTGATATTACAAAACAATTACAGAAATATGTTTCCCAAGCTATCTTGATTTCAAAGAAGAAAAGTATTACATATTTTTTTTTAAATGTTTCCTTTATTTCTTTTTTTTTTTTTTTTTTTTTTTTGCGGAACCGGGGATAGAACTCAGGTCCTTGCGTTTGCCAGGGAAGCGCTTATTCCACTGAGCCATCTCCCTGGCTCCTGTTTCCTTTATTTCTTTCTTTTTTTTTTTTTTTATGGTCAGCTCAGCCCACCCTGTGGGCGGGGCTGGCATGGCATGTGGTGCTGGGGATTGAACCGAGGTCCCTGCATGCTTGCCTAAGCAGGCACTTTAGACCACTGAGCTATCTCGCCAACCCCAGAAAAGTATTATATTTGTATGCACCATAGATATAAAATACATTATTTGTCAAGTACAATATTGCTGTTCTTTTCTTCAGTACTGACGACTCACCCAGGACCTTTGCACTAAGCTATAAGCCCATCTCTTATTGTAAAATTTTGATCTCTTAGTTCAATGAGAAGAAAGATTTGTACTTATAGTGTTTAGACAAGATATCATGTCTGCATCTTGTATTCTGAATTACTACTATGAAGACAACAATATGCAATGTATTAATTATTGCAACCATCCTACTAACCTGTTTTGAAACTGTCTTATTGCTATTTCTTTCACATTAAAATTAATAAATAGGGGCTGGTGAGATGGCTCAGTGGTCTAAAGCACCTACTTAGAACAAGCTCAGCAAAACACAGGGACTGCGGTTCAATCCCCCAGCACCACATGCCAGCCAGCCCC